GGTTTCATATTGTTCTTTTTGCTCCATATAATAAATAATGTAACCAACTTTTTTTTGGTAGTGTAATGCAGCCAACTTTTGGCAACTTGGATTGCCACCTAAAATATATTATTGTCTAAACTCATCTTTTTAGATTCATATACTATTAAATTAAATTTGGCATCAACTCATTTATCTTAAAATTTCATATATGATTCATCACAAATATATCATAATTAACTTGTTCCTAATAATTTCTATACATTATCCTCAAATATGAATTCTATAAATTGAAAGAGTTTAAGTTGATCTTTCATCAAATTAATATTTCTTCTAGACCATGGAAAAATAAGTTATTAAAACCGAAATGCTCATGAATTTACAAAGAAATTTTCACATGCTCACCATTCTTGTCTAAAGTAAAAATACTAAAGCTAACTAGAAGCAGCATCATTTTAATTTTCCTTGTAAGCATGGTACTTCCATGGTAGGTGTAACTTGAAAGATTCTTGAGTTGTCTAATATTTTAACTAAAAATATCAAATATTTAGTTAATTAATTAGTGTATTATTTTTTTTTAAAAAAAAAGTAAAGTTCCAAATTTTTTTTCAAATATAAGAAAAAAAATTTGACCGAGTCTTCATTCATATCGAGTTGAAAGTTCATCATATGAACCGTTGCGCAAACATCGAGGTAAACAATTCTCGCAAAATACTACTACTTGTATCATCCTTCACTATAAAAAGGGGAGCCATCCACTTCTGCTGCAAAACGAGAAGAAAAAAAAACACATACACACACAAAGAAATTAAAGAGAGGAATAATGACAAGCTCGAGGTCTGGGGCTGGTCTGTTCATTTTGGTGCTAATGGTAGCAGGTGTTTTCGAGGTTCCTGTGGCAAGGGGAGCCATGAGTCCCAGCCAGTGCAAGGAGGAGCAAAGGCTTCTCGTCAGTGCGTGCAGGTCAATATTATCCGGGAGCAGCCCCTCGCCCAGCTGCTGCCAGCGCATTAGGGTCACCCACGTCGAGTGCGTCTGCCCTGTTGTGACCCCGAAGTTGGCAGCCCTTATCGGAGTGGAACGCACCATTAAGCAGATTGAAGGCTGTGGAAGGGTTGTTCCTCACAAATTCAAGTGTGGAAGTAAGCGGCACTACTCTAGTCAAATTATACACGTTTTATCTATCTTAAACGTACTCTAGTTTCTAATGTTACATGCTACTATAATGGATTTGGGCACCTAGATTTCATTAATTACTGTGCTCAAAACTTGTTTCTAACTCTCTTTTTCTTTTTTTTTTTCCCTTTCAGGTATCACTACTCCTTGAGAAACGAATCAAAGGATCAGACTAGGATGACTCTTGAATAAAACGTTTAGATCTCTTTGATACATCCTTCTGCAAATTTAATTAATAGTTGCAATTTATATACCTATGTAAGGGACCGTTGTGCTTTTTCTATATCTTTGAGGGATAAAATTTCCTACTGTCATTCCTATGAGAAGTTTGCTCTTATGTCAATTCTCATTGAATAAATTTAAGAATATTG